CCCGCCGCCGCCGTCCGCATCGCCCTCACCGCCGCCGCCGTCCGCCTCGCCGTCGCCGCCGCCTCCCTCCGCCTCGCCCTCCCCGCCGCCGCCGTCCGCATCGCCCTCATCGCCGCCGCCGTCCGCCTCGCCGTCGCCGCCACCCGGCTCGCCTCCGCCACCGTCACCGCCGCCGCCCAGCACGCCTCCGACGAGCCCGCCGCCGTCGTCGCCTCCGCCGCCGTCGTCGCCTCCGCCGCCGTCGCTGCCGCCCTCTCCTCCCCCTTTGCCGCCGCCGTCGCCGCTGCCCTCACCGCCGCTATCACCTCCACCGTCGCCGCCGCCGCCGCTGCCGCCGCCTTCGCCGCCGCCGCCCTCGCCGCCGCCGCCCTCGCACCCACCCTTTTCACCCCTCCCCGAGGGCATTGTCGTGGAGGAGGTGCCCGTGATCAAGTTCACCATCGTTGTCACGATCTCCGCCGAAGTGAGCGGCATCGACGTCACCGAGCTCGAGGCCTCCTTCCGCTCTGCGCAGCAGTGCTTCGCGCCAGAGTGCGGCCTCACCGTGACGCTCCAGCCCGTCGAGCAATCGGCAGCCCGTCGGGCACTCCAGACTGCGGAAACGACTGCTTTTAGCACGGCGAGCGTGTTCAAGGATGGCAACACACTTTCCGCCGTGCGCAACGCGAACTATGTGTTCGCGGGGAAGTCGGCCGCCCAAGCCGGCGATATCCTGAATCAGCCCGTCAGCAAGGTCGACCCCGATGTCAACGAGCGCGAGGACACCGAGCCGCGCGCGGTCGCGCCGCCGCCGCCCTCCGCCCCGCCCTCCGCCCCGCCCTCCGCCCCGCCCACGCCGCCGCCGCCCTCGTCGCCTCTACCTGACGTGAACCGGCAAACCACGGATCCGCCGTGCTTTCCTAGCTCTGCGACGGTGCAGCGCGCCGACGGCGCGACCGCCCCCCTCTCCTCGCTCTCCGCCGGCGACTCGATCCTCGCGGCGGCGGCCGACGGCACCCTCGCTTTCGATTGCGTGAGAGCGTTTTCATCTGTTTCACAGTCGCTTACTTCTACTAGGCACCCTCGGCTTCGACGTCGTCTCCTCCTTCTCGCTGGCCGACCCGTCCGCCAAGGCGGCCTTCCTCTCGCTGACGACCGCAGCGGCGACGGTCACGCTCACCCCGACGCACAAGCTGCCCGCCGGCCCGGCAAAGGTACTCAAGCAGGCGTCCGAGGTTGCCGTCGGCGAGACGATCTGGATCGCGTCGCCGGCAACGGGAGCGCTCGTGCAGGCGCCGGTCTCTCCCGCGCCTTCTCCTCCCTTGCTAGCCCCCAACCCTCCTCCTGAATTCCAGCCCCCTCCCCCCCCCACACCCCTTCCTCCCCACCCACACCCCTTCCTCCCCACCCACACCCCTTCCTCCCCACAGGCACCCGTCCTCAAGATAACCAAGGTCGTGGCCGACGGGCTGCACAGCCCCCTCACCAAGCACGGCGGCTGGCCAGTCGTCGACGGCGTCGCGACCTCGTACAACAGTGCGGCCGTCGTTGCGCGCAACAAGTACCTCGTCCCGCTCGTCGAGGCGGTCTGCCCCTCTCTCGGCCGCCTTGTCGTCGCGCTTGCGAACCCCAAGGCGATGCACTACATCGATGGCAAGGTGCTTTGCGCGAGGGTAGCCGCTCTGAGTCCCTCCTCTGTGTGACTCCCCCCCCCACACACACACACACGCCACCCCACACCTCCCCCCCGTTGCTTATCTTTTGCTCGTCTCACGAAACAGGTGGTCGCGCCGCTCTCCTCGCTCGACGTCGCCGCCGCCGTCGCCGTCGCCGTCACAGCCGCCGCCTCTGGGTTTGGTGCGCGAAAAGTGCGAGGTGGAGCCCGTTCATGCGGGGCTGCGCGTGAGCTCTGCCTCTAGTGAGCCCTGCGCGTCGCGACATGTATCGCCCATCGCGCATTGCGCGACCTGGCAGGTTGTGCTCACACGTGTACTTGGTGTGCGTTCTGTGTTTGACCAGCCAGTGAGTGGGGGCTCCAGTCTGATCTCTGAATGGGGATGGTACGAGGGTTTGCCCCGCCTTGCTCCACCACCTGCTATCGTTTGTGTATTATTATTATGTACAGTTATCTCATTTCGGTGTGGAGAGTGGGGCTTTAGATACCTTCACGACGTGCGTGACCGTGAGCTAAAAACCTTAGCAACTACGGTCGGTATGATCTATCTTCTATCTATAGCGCACAGGGCTGCACAGAGCAAAGGCTAGCTAGTTCCATTTCACAGACCTTCTTATCGAGAAGAAATGGCGCTGCGCGCTGGACTACAAACAAAACAAAAGCGAGCTTCGTGTGTGTGATACGGCTCTAGCTGCTAGTGCTACCCACAGCGCGAGACGCGAGACGCCGCCAGCCGCAGCCCAGCCGAGGGAGACGAAGGAGCGAACGATCATGCACCCTGACGCATTGACTTTCTTTTTTGGTGTACTAACACATTTGGTTGATTCAGCTGTCTCTCAAGACTCTCTCAACTCCAGAGTTGTGCGTACCTTGACGATCTGAGCTCCGCCTCGACCGTTCACTGGACTTTTCGACGGCAGCCCCCGTGACGTGGCAGTCGCGCGTCCTCAATGCTCGACCAGCAGGCTGCCCGCATGGACCACCGGCCCGTCAATGTAGTGGAGCGTCTTGCACAGCGGCTCGCGCGCAAGCGCAAAGGAGCCGAGCGCCTGCCACGCGTGCTTGGCCACACACTCCACCGCAGCCACGACGCAGCGGGCAGCGCGGTGCATGCGGAGGTGGAGGCGGCGCAGAGCGACGCGAGGAGGTACGGCTGCGCGATCGCGTTGAGCTTGACTAGCGGCAGCGAGTTGAACGACGTGACGACGCCGTCGACGACGGGGAAGCCGCCGCGCTGCATGAGCGGGCTGTGCAAGCCGCGGCCGCTCGTCGCGCGCACGGAGAGAACGGCGTGCGGCTCGGGCTCCGCCGCGCCACGCCCCACGGCCCAAACGAGCTCGCCGACGCGCACGTCCTTCGCCTGCTTGAGCTGCGTGCAGCACGTCTCTCCGACGGGGAGGTGGTGCGTCGGCGTGAGCCGCAGCGTCGGCGTGAGCCGCAGCGTCGTGTTGGCTGAGGTGGCGAGAGCGAAGAAGAGGGCGCCCTCCGCGCTGTGGTCGGCGAGCGACCACGGCGTGACGACGTCGAAGCCGAGCGTGCCGTCCGCCCAACCGACGAGGAAGGCGTCGCCCTCGCGCAGCTCGTCGAGGCGGACGGTGCGCCCATCGCGAAGGGCAGCGGTGGCCGAGCTGGGGAAGCACGGCGGATCAGGGTGGGCCGGCCGCGGAGGACATCACGGCTGCCGCGGAGCAGCTAGCCTTCCTCACACGCATGGCCGAGCAGCTGGGGGTGGCTAAAGTCGGCTTCGACGCGCCGCCCGTCACGGTCACGGTGGTCGTTGCGCCGCCGCCACCCTCCGCCTCGCCCTCGCCGCCGCCGCCCTCCGCCTCGCCGCTGCCGCCGCCTGCCTCCGCGCCGTCGCCGCCGCCGCCGTCCTTCACGCCCCTCATCGACGTCGATCCAGGACGGTCTGATGAACACACCAGCGAAAACGCTGGTGACGATGGCCCAGTGCTCGAGCTGTGGGCGGTGGCTCTTATCGCTGTGGGAGCGGCCGCTGCAGTGCTGTGCTTGGGGGGCTGTTGCATTTGGCGAAGACGGAGGGGCGCTTGTGCCGTCCGCCATCGCCGCGACGCGATGCAAGACTGAGGCCGAGTGTGGAGTCGTGCCGGGATTGCGGGTAAGTAGCCAACTGGAGGTGCCAGTGGCAACTGTGCGTCTCTGAATCTTTGAAAATGTGTGCACCTGCTGTGCTTTCGTACCTGTGAGTGAGAGCTGATGTACGCGTATCGTTCCATCGGTCTCGCGCCTATATGTGTTCCGCCTCAGAGCGTCGGAGCAGTGAATGTGTCCACACCGTGTTAGCCGCGTGTACGGCGCTCGTTTACGGAGCCGCATCTAACTTGTGCATGGTCTGAGACTTCTCTCTCCAGTCTACGAAGAGATTAGGTTTAGGAGCAGCAGGATCCAGGAACCCGAGGCGCGAGGGACCATGTGGAAGACGGCTAGTGCTAGTCCCCCATTCTTTTTCTACTAAGCAAAATTCGAGCCAATTGAGGAAACTCAAGCGGGCAGGCTGGAAGCACTGAGGGACGGCCGATGTTCGCCGAGTGCCAGACCTGATTTTAGAATCGCTCGCTGGTAGGCGCTGGGTGGCGCGGGGGGCGGCGGGATTCCCCGCACATATATTGGCGAGCTGTGTCGTCTCAACGCTGTTGCGAAAACGGAAAAGAAAAACGTATTGCTATTGCGTAGACGAGCACGAATGCGAGACAAAACCGAAACAGAGAGGCAGATCTGCACCTTGCACCTTCCTTCGCCCCCTTCCACAGACATTCGACAATTTCTCACATCACCAAATGCTGCTGGATGATTGCCGCCTTGAGCAACCGCTGCACCCCGAGCACCGCGCGCGAGGCCAGCGCCAGGGGCGGCTGCTCGCCCCCCTCCGCGCCGCCGCCCGAGCTCGCCTTGAGCTCCTCCGCCAGCAAGCCCGCGCTGCGCCGCAGCGCGAGCAGATCGTCCATCGAGCAGCGCAGCGCCGGCCCGTCGCCGTGTAGCCACGCGTAGTGCGCCGCGTCCGCGCCGAGTGCGTGCCTCGCCACCAGCGCGCTCACCGACGCGTCGACGTGCGCGGCAAACTCGTTCGGCGGCGGGCCGCCCTCCCCGCCCGGCCGCCCGTCCGCCTCTGCCAGCGAGCACGCGAGCCGTAGCTTCCTGGCCGCCTCGCCGGCCAGCACCTAGTCAGCCGCGCGGGCGAGCTCCTAGACACTTCCTATTCCTAGACACTTCCTAGACACTTTCTAGACACTTCCTAGACACTCCCTAGACAGTTCCTAGTCAGCCGCGCGGGCGAGCTCCTCGGGTGATCTCGGGTGATCTCGGGTGATCTCGGGTAATAGTCCGCCTCGCGGACGAGCTCCTCGGGTGCAGTTGCGACGACCCAGCCACGGGAGGGAGGGTGCAGGGAGGGTGCAGGGAGGGTGCAGGGAGGGTGCAGGGAGGGTGGAGGGAGGGTGCAGGGAGGGTGCAGGGAGGGTGTGTAGGAAGGGTGCGCAAGAGGGGTCTCTAGGTGTCACGCACCGGCCCGCTCGGCGCCGCCCGGCCGCGAGGGAGGGAGGCGGGGGCCGGGCGCCCCGCGTCGGCAGCCGCGTCGGCGGCCTCGCCGAGCGCGCCGCGCGCCCTTGCCAGGAGGCGCTCGAGCAGCGACTCGGCTGGCGCCTAATGAACGAACTAATTAACTATTAATTAACTACGACTGAGTAATTAAGCTCGAACAGCGACTCGGCTGGGGCCCGCCGCCGTCGCTGCCGCCTCGGGCGCCCGGCAGCGGGTGCCCACTTCCCGAGCGCGGGTTGCCGATGCGAGCAAGCAGCGTCTTTGGGGGAGGTGGCGGAGGAGGGGGGGAGGGGGGGGGGGCGTCAGGAGATGCCAAGAGAGGGCCCTGAAGAAGGGGGAGGGGAGGGAGGGAGGGAGTCAGGGAGGCAGGGAGGGAGGTAGGAAGGGCGGAGGGGAGGCTGGCAGAGAGGGCGGAGGCAGGGTGGAGGCAGGGTGGAGGAAGGGTGCAGGGGGGAGGGGCCTTGACAGGGTGGAGTCCGCCGGCCGCGACGTTGGCGCTCGTCGCTGCGAGCGGCGCGCGCGCACTGCTCGCCGAGATCACGCCTGCGCAATAGAAAGGGGTGGGGGGGGGGGGTCGGCAACGTGTCGCGGAAGTGCCCGCCTCTCCCGCCGCCGACATCTTACCCGCTGCGAGAGCGGCGGCGGCGGCGGCGGGTGCCGCGTTGATTGCCTCGCCATACAGCACGCTCATCTGCTGTGTGGCGAGCACCTAGCCGAGCCGAGCCGAGATGTCTCCGAGAGATGTCTCCTAGATATGGGGAGATGTGGGGAGATGTGGGGAGATGTGGGGAGATGTGGGGAGATGTGGGGAGATGTCTCCGAGAGATGTCTCCGAGGCTCATCCGAGATCGGCACGCCCAGCAGCTGCGTAGTGAGAGGGGTGAGAGGCCCCCAGACCCTCAGTCGTGGCGCTGCTCTCGGCGAATCCCGGCGAATCCCGGCGAATCCCGGCGAATCCCGGCGAATCCCGGCGAATCCCGGCGAATCCCGGCGAACCCCGGCGAACCCCGGCGAGGCTCGCGCGAGGCCTCGCGCGAGTCTCGCGCGAATCTCGGCGGGCTCCATCTCGGCGGGCTCCATCTCGGCGGGCTCCATCTCGGCGGGCTCATCTCGCCTCGCGCACGAAGCGGCGCTGCGAGGCGGGCCATGCCGCCGCGAGCAAGTCGACCTAGACACGTCCTAGACACGTCCTAGACACTTCCCAGAGGCCATGCCGCCGCGAGCAAGTCGACCGTGTCCGCGTCGAGCGAGGGAGGCGGCGGCTCGTCCGAGGAGGACCCAGGCGGCGGAGGCGGAGGCGGCAGCGGAGGCGGCGGAGGCGGAGGAGGAGGAGGTGGAGGAGGTGGTGGAGGCGGTGGTGGCGGAGGGGGAGGCTCCGCCGAAGCCTCGACCGGTGTGACCACCCCGCCGCCCTGCCTCTCGCCTTGCTGCCTCTCGCCCACCTCGGCCCCTCCCCCCTCTCCGCCGCTGCCTCCCCCCTCTCCGCCGCTGCCGCCGCTGCCGCCGCTGCCGCTGCCGCCGCGCCCTTCGCGCCGCCGCCGCGAGACGGACGGCAGTCCGGTGGCTGGAGACGTGTCGACCGTGCGGCGGTCGGACGCGGCTTGGCGGGCGGCGACCGCGGCGGCGGGGGGAGCCGCGGCGGCGTCAGCGGCGGCGTCAGCGGTGGCGGCGGCGGCGGCGGCAGCGGCGCCGCCCCTCTCCGGTGTTGCCGGGCCGAATTGCGGCTCTGGCGGCGCGGCGTCGTCGGAAGCGGTGCGGCGCGTTGCGGCGGGTCGCGGGGGCGTGTCCCACTCCCCCGCCGCCACGCTCTCTCCCATCCTCCGCACCGCAACCTCCCTCGCCCTCGCCAGCACGGGCTCGCATAGCGGGGAGACCGCCTGATGGGGGAGGGTCGGAGGAGGTGGCTAGGAGGTGTCTAGGAGGTGTCTAGGAGGTGTCTAGGAGGTGTCTAGGAGGTGTCTAGGAGGTGTCTAGGAGGTGTCTAGGAGGTGTCTAGGAGGTGTCTAGGAGGTGTCTAGGAGGTGTCTAGGAGGTGTCTAGGAGGTGTCTAGGAAGTGTCTAGGAGGTGTCTAGGAGGTGTCTAGGAGGTGTCTAGGAGGTGTCTAGGAGGTGTCTAGGAGGTGTCTAGGAAGTGTCGGAAGGGTCTAGAGAGACCGCCTGGCGGGAGGCTCGAGATCTGGGGAGATCTGGGGAGATATGGGGAGATGTGGGGAGATATGCCCGCCTGCCGAAAAGCAGCTCGCGCCGCGGCCCCGACGGCCTCCCACAGCGGCCGGCTGCGCGCCTGCTCGGGGAGAGTTCCGGGAAGGTTCCGAGAAGGGGCGGGGGAGGGTTCCGAGAAGGGGCGGGGGAGGGCTCCAATGGTGCCTCCGCCGCGTCTCGAGATATGGTGAGATGTGGGGAGATGTGGGGAGATGTGGGGAGATGTGGGGCTGCGTGCCTCCGCCGCGTCTCGAGATGTGGGGAGATGTGGGGAGATGTGGGGAGATGTGGGGAGATGTGGGGCTGCGTGCCTCCGCCGCGTCTCGAGATGTGGGGAGATGTGGGGAGATGTGGGGAGATGTGGGGCTGCATGCCTCCGCCGCGTCTCGAGATGTGGGGAGATGTGGGGAGATGTGGGGCTGCGTGCCTCCGCCGCGTCTCGAGATGTGGGGAGATGTGGGGAGATGTGGGGAGATATGGGGCTGCGTGCCTCCGCCGCGTCTCGAGATGTGGGGAGATGTGGGGAGATGTGGGGAGATGTGGGGCTGCGTGCCTCCGCCGCGTCTCGAGATGTGGGGAGATGTGGGGAGATGTGGGGAGATGTGGGGCTGCGTGCCTCCGCCGCGTCTCGAGATGTGGGGAGATGTGGGGAGATGTGGGGAGATGTGGGGAGATGTGGGGCTGCGTGCCTCCGCGGCATCTCGAGCGTCGACCACCTCCAGAGGCTCTTCCTCGCCGCAACCGTCGGCGGCGAGGGGCAGGCCTGACGTGCTGCACGAGGTATGACTGAAACGAGTCGTTGATACCGGTGAGCACGCCAGCATCGGGGCGGGAGGACGGTGTGTTGCGCAGAAGCATGCGTGGCACCGCGTGAGTACGAGGGGCTACCAGGGAGATACGAGGACAGCGGAAGACCGCCGAGTGTACAGTCGACTGCGGCGGAGTGCGTGTCCTCTCGAGCGCTGGCTGGGAGACAGGACAGCGTCTTCCCGCTTCTAGCGTTGCCGGGCCTCCGAAGGCCGCTCCCCCGAGGATGGGCGAGAGGCTGGCGGGCGAGGGCGGCGCGTTGGCGGACGCCTCGCCGAGAGCCCAGACTAGCTGGCGGCGCGAGCGGGAGGGCAGCGGGAGGACGGGCGGGTCGGGCGGGAAGAAGACGCGCTCACCGCCCGCCGCCTCGCCGCCGACCGCCGCCACCACGAGATCCCGGTGCTCCTCGCTCATCCGCGCGGCGTCCGCCTTCCACGAGAAGATGGCCCGCTGCGCCCCGATGTCTCCCCCCACATCTCCCCCACATCTCCCGCGCCTTCCACGAGAAGATGGCCCGCTGCCATAGCCCGCGCTGCCCCCCGACATCTCCCCGACATCTCCCCGACATCTCCCCGACATCTCCCCGACATCTCCCCGACATCTCCCCGACATCTCCCCGACATCTCCCCGACATCTCCCCGACATCTCCCCGACATCTCCCCGACATCTCCCCGACATCTCCCCGACATCTCCCCGACATCTCCCCGACATTTCCCCCCCCCCCCTCTCCCCCCCCCCCCCTCTCCCGCGCCTCCGGGTCAGCAGAGACGACGCCGAAGAGGAGGGGGACCGGTGCGTGAAGCATGTCGGCGAGGCAGTCGGGTAGGACGGGGAGGTAGCCTCCCGCCCACTGCAGCGGGGCGAGGCAGTGCAGCAGCCCCTCCGCCGCGGACGTCAGGCCGAGGGGCGAGCGCGCCACGAGGACGACCGCCCGCTCCTGCGGGGGAAACGTCCGAGAAAGGTCCCGATTTTGGGGGAGAGAGGAGGGCGCCGAG